TCACATGATGGTTTTGATATAAAACTTGAAATCTTACAACATAATTACTTATACAAATGTATATTGTAGACTAGAAATGTATGTTGCCTGCTGAATAGGTGCTTTCATCTATAAAAATCTTGAAAATAACACAACCACAATCATAACCCCTTACAAAGTATTGAAACTAATCTAAGTGATTCAATGGTAAATGTTGAAGTGCCAATCATGATTCTAGGCCTATTGGTGAATTAGTAGAAGGCAATTGAGTGTTATATCAAATGTGACCCCTGTGACCTTGAATATAGGCCAAGGTCATTTCTTTTTTGCAATTTTGTCAGACATCATACTAGAGACCTATCATTGAAATATAACAATATATAAGACCTTTTGGTAAAATTAATCATAAGGCATTTCAGTGTTATAACAGGTTTGACCCCTGTGACCTACAACATAGGTCCAGGTCATTCTGTACAGGAGTTTTTCAGGCTTCATCAAAGGAACCTACCACTTACATATTTTGATTGTCGGCCTTCTGTTTCATCAGAAAAAAAAGTGTGAAAGGAAAAGTTGACATACGATTACTTAACCCTTAGCACCTGGTGAGCTTATAACTGATATCAAAACAAAACCATCAGAAAAAAAAGTGTGAAAGGAAAAGTTGACATACGATTACTTAACCCTTAGCACCTGGTGAGCTTATAACTGATATCAAAACAAAACCAGGGAAAGAAAGACTTTAAAAATAGATATTGATATATGTGGATTCACAACAAGTTCATCATCAAAAAGAATTTGTAGTATACATGAACATTATATCTCTACTAACTAAGTAATAAAAAAAAATTGTTGTATGTTGTGCTGTGCCAGCAATATAACAATCCTTTATCACTGCAAATTCAATCTATTGTATGGCGCACAAGCAATATGACAAGATCCTAGTAGGATCAAAATGGGCATACCATCAAGTCGTCATCCTTCACTGATAATTCTAACCATGTTTGCGATATTTCCAACGGAAATAAAACAAATCATGCTAAAAAATCTAATTTTCTATATATAAACTATAGTAAACTTTACTCCCTGCCCACAAGGCAAATGTGAGATCCTAGGGCTACGAAATTTACAATTTAGGTAAAGCACCTTAAAATGCTTCCATTCATGAAGAGTATTTGAGTCTATCATATCTGGGTCTTGAGCATAAGATTTTTAAAATTTAAGTCCTTTTAACTACACCCCTCTGGCCCCTTGGGGTTGCGGACTGTATAATTCACAATTTTGGTACATCTTAGGGCAGGGAAGGTTTCTGCAAAATTTCATTGAATCGGATCAGGGGTTTTTGAGAAGAAGTCGAAAATGTTGAATTGTTTACAGATGCACGGTGCACAATGCGGAATGAAAGTGATTAGAATAGGTCACCATGAGACTGTCTTTGGTGACCTAAAAATCCTTTATCATTATAAAATCAACCTGCTGTATGTTGTACAACTAATGTAAAATCATTATCATTATAAAATCAATAAAGTGATAATTACAAGATCTAAATTATTTCATTTAATGTAATAAAAACCAGAATATCCATAAAAAGTGGTCTTGCATGTTCTGCTTACCAATTATATATTACAAAGATACATGGTTGATATAACCATTGAATTTAATAATATATCAATAATATTATTCAATAATAAAGCTCTAATTGAAGAACACAACAAACATTTTTGGTCCCATTAAAAAAAATAAATTTCTCTTCAAAATTTCAAAAATTAAAAAAAAATCATGTCTGATCAGTTAGCTATATTTTTCTATTTAATTGTATGAAAAAATGGACTATGTAGAAAAAAACAGTGCTAAATTACAATATAATAATGATGGAAATATCACAGCTATTGAGTTGTAACAATCCACAATTTCTATTTTTTTTTATTTTCACACTAATGTATATAAAGATATATGAAACATATAAAACATTTAACTCCATGTGTATTATTCTTTTCTGTAGATGGTATGTATCAATATTTGATTAAAAAATAACACAAGAAAATCACAGATTTGCTTTTAGAAAACATTTCTACCTCACTTACAAAAACTTAATCAGGTACCTTTGTAAAAAAAAGTATTGACAAATTCAAGCTGAGCTGTATTACCCGTGTGTATCGAACACATACATCATTATGTATTCCTTGATGATAATGCATCTTATCTTATTTATCAATTAACAAATTAAAATGAAAAAAACTTTAATGAATTAATGTACTGCTACTTTTAAAAGATGTGCCAACAGGATAGTCTTTAAGTCATTCTGGCTTCTGTTGTTTTTAGAAGATGTGGTAGTAAATAATTCTATTTTACAGAAAACATATATTGAAATATACAATGTAAAGTGTTCTTTAATTTTTGTCAATGGTATAATTTTTGGTATTTCTAAATATACAATGAACTTTTAGGAATAGTCTCTCTCTCTCTCTCTATTCTCTCTCTCATTTAATACATGTATTTGAAAACATAAAGGTCATCAATGGTACTGGCTAAAATAAGTCATCAAAGTCAAAGGTCAATAAATGATTACCAAAGACCAAGTAAGTACAGGTAATTGAGATTGTATGTTTTATATTTGCATATCTTATTATGCCAATGATCAAATATAGATGACAAAGGTCACAGGTCAAATAAGTTGTCCATATATATCAATCAATCAAAATTGTATGCAATTTCAATCCAAGTTGTATCCTTTATATTTGCTCATCTTATTACCATGTAATGTCAAAGGTCAATATATATTTGATCAGAGGTCAAATAAGTCATCATTATCATTCAATGTTGAATCATTTTCATTTGCACATCTTATTACAATACAAAGGTTTGTCAAAGGTCAACATTAAGGACAACAAATGTTACAGGTCAAATAAGTCGTCAATTTCAATCAATATTTCATCCTACTGATATGGATTGATTGGACCATATTGTTCTTTTTTTTTTCAATCATTATACAATTTCAATTAAGCTGACAATACATAACACTGACTTCTTAGTTTATGGTCTAAAAGTTACATTTCAGGTACAGAAAAGTTACAAATAGAGATTAATCTTCCCTTGCTAGACCCAGCACAGCAATTTCGGACAGCAAGCATTTTCCCAGAATATTTTTAACAGCATAATCCTTATCACTAGAATACCCTTGGTATGGCTTCTAACTGTAAGTTCTAGCTTTAGCTCTACATATGCAGTTTAACAGAGAGACAAAAATTAAAAATTACAGTTAAATTAAAATGAAACCATGTACTGTAATGATCCCAAATTTTATCCACCTCCTTACTGATAATTTGTACAGTTCCACAACTTTTCATAACTTAACAAACAAGTATTGCCCTGGTGGCCATAATTTACTTCTAATGACCATGAAATCACTATATGTAAAAAAATCACCCACTGATCATCCCTACAAAGTTTCATCAACATCATTCAAATAGCATAAGAATTGTTCAGTCAAAGTAGATTCTACAGATGGCAGTAATGATGGCCATTTTGAATTCATTTTCTCTTAAAACATGAAAATAAATTATGGAACCCTATAACTATAGCTCATTTGAGCCTTCAGCTCTGGTGGGATAGGTAATTAACTTCCATCTGTTACCTCACGTTCAGAACAACACTGGTTTATAGATTATCTACCACCTGTTACCTGATGTTTTGGAAAACTTTAAAGTGACAGAATATCTAGACAATCTGTGTATCAATAACATCAAAAGAAATAAACACTAAAGTTCTTCACCAGAATTTTCTCCTAGCAACAACATAAAATTGATGCATCACTATATTTTCAAATGAATGCCCTCTTTACACACTGTACATACAAAGATCGTATCTATCAACTCATAAAAACTGTTGTCTCGCTTTTTCTCATCAAAATGTACTGATCAAGACATAAATTTTCACTTTACAACACTTTTCAATCATAATATTGTACCTAACAACACAAACTACCATATCCTTTCCTTCTTAACAAATCATATACACCAGTACCTAAGTACCCATGAACTTCACACAAATATTTATATTCAACTTTTATCTACAAGGAAGCCATATTCAACCTCACACCCTGTTAATACAAAAATACAATCCAAACTCCCATACTGGTACTCACATCTATTCACACATGGATTTGCTGCTTAAAAATCTTAGTTGTAAAGATATGTTAATGGGAAAATACACTGAATTCACAAACACCTTGATATCAATTCTGCTGGCCAGTGCATTTCGTATTCATATGAACACTTAAAGTTGAATGTGTTTTTATAGGGCTATGAATGCAATTAGATTAGTGACTTCACTTCTTTCCGTGAGACTTGCATTGCTAACATGCGACTTTCATAAGAAGCAAACATTTTGATGACATCAGTTTGCTGCTTGAGTATGATTTGCACTGACAATAAAGATCCTTCAATACCACAAACAATAGCACTACTTCTTCATAAATGGTTGAAATGGTTGAGCCTGAAAGGTACATATTGAGACCACATCTAATCTAAAAAACTAGCATATATTATTAAATAGGTCTAGTCTGTTTAAAATTATGTAACTGGCTTAGGGGTTTATATTTATTTCAGGTAAAGGTAAGATGTCTTCCTGATTTTTTGATTTGTTGATATTTTTTGTGAATATCAGTCTATATATTTTCTTTTCTGCCTGAACTGCTTCAACCAGATTATACAAAAGAGATCTATCAAATACTTAATGTAATAAGATAACTTATAACCATAAGCTGATAAAACATAACAGATTGAATTGAGACTGATTAAAATGCCAATATGAATGCAAATTGGCTACATCAACATACTGATGTATAGATGTAACAGACATCTTTTAACACTAATGTGAATGTTAAAAACGTTGTTTCAGAAAAATACGAGTAAACCCCTTAAACCAAACAAATATAAACCTCATTTTTTTCTTGTCGGAATGCTGAAGTTACTTATATCACAACAAGTTTATGCCTGGCGACAGGTAGCAATAAGGAATCCAGATCATAGATTCTCCTTCATCCAAGCAAATGCATATTCATAGACCAACAGCATTATAGCCCCTCCTGCAACAGAACAATAACTAATGCTTTAGTGATCATTTCTTGGTTGTATTCAGCCTTATAATTTGTTTACCTACATACATCAGAGTGGATATTTATGTCAATATTATGCATTCATATGAACAAAGACTCAAGAAATATCACCCCTGATTATATCATATCACTTATGAGCCTGTATTAACCTGAATGAATTTAACATACAAGAATAATAAATTTCAATTACCAGGGTACATTAATTATAACAACACACTGAACACATTATGAAGTCTTTGGTTTATGGATTTACTGAAAGAGCTGTGATGATTTTTTACTAATTTGTCAGTTACCAAACCATGGCAAAAAAAAGCACAAATTTTCTACAACTCATAATCATTAGAACTGCATTTCCAACACCAGAAATTCAATATAGCAAATAATTAGACAAGTGACCCATGAGCCTAAATATCACCTTACTAATCTCAACCGAACTTAAACTGCAAATTAAGGGCTCTGAAACTCTGAAATTTGCCATTAAAATTGGTCCCATTACCAAACTCATCCAAGATATAAATAATATAAAGATGTACAGCAAGTTTAATGAAAATCCATTCTTATTTACTCATGTTATTGTGTTCACAAGATCCAACAGTAATAAAATTTCAAAGGGCTATAACTCTGTTAATTATGATTAAGTCACATCTATTGGCAAACTCATCTGCAATCTTATTGATATAAGACTGCATACAAAATTTCACAGACTTCTGTTCCTATTTACTCAATAAATCATGCTCACAAGAAAAAGTTAAAAGTAAAAGTTGATCAACAGATAAAAAACAACAGCAATAGGTCATTAAGACATGTTGTCATGTGACCAGCAAGTGTACACATTTCAAAGAGTAAACATATCCAAATAAGTACCATTGACCATTTTTGTTTAAGACATAAGACACTTTCCATAACAACAAGAACCATGAAAGAATAAAGAGTTTTAAATGATTATTGAAATTTCTTATCCCTGGAGGCACTAGTTAAAATGTCTAAATATAAATATCACTAACCTGGGCCAAGTCTCAATATCTTTGGTAGTAATCCTTTATAAAGAGCCAAGAATCTGAAAGTTAAAATGAATAAAGAGATAAATACTGAAGTTCATAATGAATATCCTTGTAAATATACTGTCTTTCAATTTGTGAATTTTTCTCTGCAACAAGATACATTGAAGTTGATAAAGATGATTGAACTGAAGCTTCCCCCTATGTTTTGTTTGACTACTGTGACATAAATCTAGTCATCATACTTTTCCAGTCATTTTAATTTCATATCCAATCAGCAGAATTATTTTCTGCTGAACAGTTTGAATTGTAAGATCAAATCAAAGGTTTTCTTGAGCTACTTACCCTTCTTCTACATATACAGTTCTAATCGTGGCAAAGCAGGTGCGGTACTTGATTTGGCCTGGAACAGGCTGAGGTCCTTGGATTCTGCTCTTAGCCACATCAAAAGGAATGTTTACACAAGATGCTAGGACCCCAGAACACAAACCGATGACAAATCTTCGCATCAGGTCAAGTTTCTTATCCTAAAAATATAAGAACAAATAAAGCAGAGTAAATGCTGCAGTAAAGACATTTCTTATCAGTTATATATAATAATAATATTCAAGGATTAAGCATTCTTTTAACTCTTATGACTGTGCCCACCACCGATCCTTTCAAACATATTCCATGATGTAAGTTATCAGTACAAAAAAAGAATAAGAGACCCAATGGGCTGCTATGTTCATCTGCTAATAAATGCTGCAATAAAGACATTTCTTATCAGTCATATATAGAAATAAAATCTTTAATAGCCTTAACAAGCATGCTTATACATCAGACTAAATATCATTTCATACTTGTGTATACTTGTTATACTTATTTCATTTAAGGTCTAAGAATGAGATATGTTATCCTCATGGAGAGCTACAATTTTAAGTAACAAATTCCTCTACTGCAATTTAAGCAACCATTGTAGACAAACATTGGAGATGAACAAATTAAGTTAATATTATAAATCATTTGCCTTATTTAAATAATACTTGGAAGTGGTAGATATATTCATACCTCATACTCAGGAACCATGCCCTTGACATTATGGTAGAAGCTGAAGTAGATCATGTTGAAGACGCCATGCCTACCTAGTGTTGAGGTCAGACCCTTGTTTAATCCTCTTTTACCAAAGCCGTCTTGAGCAAGGATCTCCTTGGCAGTAGCAATGGTACCCTTTTGCTGTAAGTGTACAATCATTGTTAGGTAACCTATTTAAAATATGTGAGTTCTTTTTAAAAACATCACATTCATGTACAATAAATTAATAGTTTACATTACTGGAGAACAGGATCACAGATGTAGGTAAATGCACATTGCTGTAACAGCTTGTTTCTCAGCTCCTCAAAGACATGCTTCTAAGGAAACACAAACCTCCTCAAGTAAGAACCAAGCCACAAAATTTTAATCTTCACATTTAGTTTAAGTCCGATTCTTAAACCAACTGAGCTAACATATCAAGGCTGAATATTCATATCCATTATACTGACCTCTGTGAATAAGCTGCGCTCTGCTTGTAATTTCACTTTTACAACTTCAAAGGGATTGATGACAAATGCTTCTGTTAAGCCAGAGCATAGTCCTGAAAGTGTGAATATCTACAATTGAAAGAGAAATCCATCCTTTAGTGCAATAGTCCAAACTCAGCTGTCACTTGGGCAAGAATCTACAATAGCACACAGCTGATCAATACAAACTACAGAGACCTTAAAAAAGGCTATGCCTTTTCCCCCAGTAGATTTTGATATATAAATACAGAAAAATATGATCAGTAAACATGGTTATTCATGATGCAATTAACAGCATGAATGACAGATACTTACAACAGATTCTGGGAGGTAAGATCCATAAGCAAATATGGTTTTGTATTGTTCAAAGGTGAAGAATTTAACAGCTCTTTTTGGTGTCTCTGCCATCAGTGGAGGTAAAATACCTTTGTAGAAGGAAAAGGCCCTGTTCCATGTAAAATGCAGATATCAGTTATGTGTTTTACCTGTTAAGAGATTCAATAAACAGCAGAAGGAAAGAAAGAGCAGAATTAAGAAATACTTTATACAAGATTTTGTCCGGATTTTAACAAGAGCAATCCTTTCCTCTGACTGTAAATGGTAGTATTCATACTGCCATATTCATTTCATCAGGTAGAATTTTGCCGGAAGTGAAATGCGCTCTTGACAAGGACCAAAAAGAGCAGCTTTTAAACAGATATTTTACTTATCATAAATTTTATTTCATACATAATAAAAACCTAATACTCTTTTTGGGAAAAAAAAACAGATTTCAGAGTTATAGGTCTAATGAGATGCCAATACAAGATTATTCTGTTATCATATGTTTATGACCAACAAAGTGTTTTGGCTACAGTTATTCTGTTCTTCCTTGAGATTCTTGGTGGTCAAACTTTCGTCTTTAAATAGTACAATGTTCTTTAAATAAGTGCATATATTTTCAAATTAAATATCAGGGTTTAAGCTTTAATTTCTATATAGTTTTTCTTTCTTATTCAGTATCACTTCGATTTTAAGTTTTCAGTTTTATGGTCGCCATAGTGATTGCATTGAGAAATATTCTATCTCTTTGTGAGCTGATGTTTTTGATGCTTGTTAGTTTGCCTGTTGGTTCCGTTGTTGTATACCTTTTTCTCATTTGAGACTGTGACATTATTTACTTGGATTGACCAAGGTTTACATGGCAAGTATCGTCAATGAAGCAGAAGGTGCTTATTCTTCCAGAACACCTGTTCTTATTCTCCTAGTCCTTTATCAGGGGTCTCTGTGTAAATCTTTCTTTTGTTTATATTTTGCCTGAATTTTATGGAATTTGAGTTTGGATTATGATTATGTTGACATGTTGGTATTTTCTTGATGTATTTTGTTTTCCAATGCATAACGAAATGTTGTGATTGAGCAAGGTGGCTCTTCAGAAGAAGCTGTTTGAACTTACAAGGCATGAAAGGCATTCAAGTCATTATATAATATCTTTTTATTATTTTCAGACCAACCTTAAATAGAATATATTGCGATGAACTTAGCCTCTAAACTTATCAATTTGAAAAGAAAAAAAAGAATATTGGACTTTACAAGACCTAACATTTGACATCTTATCGCAAAACAACACAAATCTGTACATGTTTGGTCTTCATAACATACTACAATATCATAGATTTTCAGATATTTCAGACAATGTAGTAAAATATTTACAATATATTTCACCCCTTGCTGTCACAAAACTCTGTTAGTCAATGTCATTTATCCAAGAGACCTTACAGCAAATCCATCTAAGTGGAAACTAACCAAATATGGTCAGATTTGAATAAGTTGCATTTTCAAAAGCTTTAGCAGATAGATGCAGCATTATACTATAATTTTGTTGTGCTATAGATGTTAAAACATATAACCTCTCCAGTAAATAAAAAAGCTTCAGATTCATACACATTTCAATCATCTGCTAAAATTTCGTTCATTATAAAAAGTAATAACTGTATACAATATAACCTCATTTAATTATCCTCTCTCTACACAAAATTGTCAAGCTTGGTTATGCTTAGACTATTGCTGTGAAGTATTCATATACCAGATTTATCCCTCATTTAGTCCATGACTGGTAATAAGCCCACCTATATGTTAATTGCATTGGAAAATCACAAAGAAATGATATTTCATTGTTATGCAATAAGCCCACTCCCTGTCTATGAGTAAAAAACAATGTGTTGGCTCCCTGTTTAATTTTTTTTTAATCACAATAGCAAGTGTAACAAAGTTCCACTGTAGACAAATATATCATGAAGATAGTAAGAAATATGTTTAGGAACAACCCTGTCACATGTTATCAGTACTTCAATGATTTTTGCCTTCAGCACTTACCCCTCTTGTCTATACATCTTACGGAAACAGTCCAGCAGAGAGGTGTATCTGTTTGGGTCTTCAGGACCACGTTGAATCTGGAATCTTGTTTTTACCAAATCCAGAGGATGCATGATTGAAACTTCCACAAAACCTATTCCAAAAGCACCATGTTATAGATACAAGTTGTTAAATTTTCTCAGCATTTTCATTCTAATCTGTCTATAGCTTAACTTATACAACAGGTATAGACTACAGGGACAGCATGCATTGTAAGACCTGATAATAATACCACTTAACACTGTTAAAACTTTTAATATTGAAGGAAACAGTTAAAGGAATTGAGAACAAGTTTTAAGGGGAAATATAAATAAAGTCGGTTTTGAAAAAATTAAGCACAAGCCGAGTGTAATCATAGTAATGTTTCCTAGTCATATTAATTTTGTGTTAAAAATTATGATGAAGATTACCAAATTATAACCTTTTTTCTTAAACCTGAAATACCCACACAGAACACTAAGTCTATCAAGAATTCCATAAATCAGTTTTCTTTTTCTAAATTGTTGTTTATCTGGGGTCCAATGGGATGAGAATGAGATGGTACCTCAAGCAGTTCTTGGTTATTAGTTCTTTTTTGGGGTCCCATGGGAGACTGTATAAGACCTATTTTTCTATTTATATTTTTTCCCTATCATTTGAAAAAAAAAATTGTTTGTACATACAATTCTAACTTTCATGTTTCTATTTTTCTTCTCTGATCTTCAAACTTTTCATGGATATAGTCATAACAATTGTTTTGTAAGTTTGACACCTCAAACTTTTATACTGTTAAAGTAAACATGAATAAGTCTTGATTTGTGAAATACTTTGATTTTGTCAATTAGTTAGCTACTCTGTAATTTGATAACCACTCTCAAAATCAGATGCAGAATGCAGAACACTTGTTAAATTTCCTTGCTTCAATCTATGGATTCCACAGTCCAGAAATGTTTAGGACCAACAAGAGTGCAAATCAGCTCACTAGTGACTTTTTGGTTTTGGACCAAATTTGGAAGGCAATGATTCAACATCGATAAAATATATCAGTGTAACAGATGACTTTCTCAGTTTTCAAATGCATGTCAACTTTGTCTCTGTGGTTATCAATTATGAAAGGGATGCAACTCTTATAATATTGTCACTTCAAAGAAAAATACATTTTACAAATTTCCGACGTGTAGCAATCTGTGAAAGATCTAAACTAATTTAGCCTATCACATTCAGAGTATGTTCAATAATATCTGGGTTAACTGTATTGAAAATTATAAAAGTAATGGAAGGGAGCATGCCTCTTTAAATGAACTGAAATGCTCCGGCAACGGTAAAGTGTGTGCAGTAAATAAATAAACACTCAATATCACCTGCACAACCTCCTGCAGAAAACTGCATTAGGGCTAAGGCATATGGACTCCTTTGTTGAGTGTTCATTGCGGGGGACGTCATTACGTGTTTTGACAGATGATAAAGTTTGGCAAGTACTCGAAACGGGCACCTTCTGCTTCTTTGACCCGTAGTTTCAGCTGAGGGGAGCATATAATAAGATAGCATTTACCGTCCATTTATTTTCAATGAACTACCACATTATGATTTTAATCGCAGAATATTATATAAGTCACTTGGGAAGATTAGAAACTATAGCGATTTGCAACCAAGAGCTATTTTCTGTATTACATATTTTCTTATTTCCAATAAATAGTTTCTCCCTGTATCTTGCCTTTCTAATGTTTGATTTTTTTGGGGACTTACGTGCGAAAGTTGAGCGTCTAAAGCACCTAGATTCCATAGTGCCCTCCTCCAACCTACGAGTGAGTCGTTAAAAGGTTAGATATTGAGATATTTCTTTAAAAAGATATTGTATTTGGTTATTTCAGTTCATCAGCATCATAAACTATATAAACCAGTACCGGCATCATCATACATTACGACTCAGCGAACAAATACAGGCCCTACCGTCGAGCGGTTTCGACCTTCATGTGGTCAACATTTTTGGACATATCGGTTGGGTCTTTTTTGTTCATTTGATTTATCGGTTAATTGGGCGGAGAAAACACATTCATGTCCGATGTCATTACAAGAATCGAACCTGGGTTCCCTACTCTATGCAAATTAAGTTGATCCTACCTCTTGGGACTTGAAATGGGGTCTAAAACTGCAAATTTTGCTTTAAACGCTGGAATTGGCTTAAAAAATTCCTCCTCTGATATGGAAATATGGGATAAGCCTAGTGGTGACTTTTCGTGAGTTGTGAACTCCTCAAAGTCTTCTCTTCTTACTGTTATTATGTAATAAAAGGAGGGGACAGTATGGATTATATACACTTTGTCATGCAGCAACATTGTTTCACCTCACATTAAGATTTGAAGATTTTGATAAACTTTAATCTGTAGTCATATAAAGTCTCAATTTACTCCCTGCATACCAATATGTCAACACTGACTGTCCAATACACATCTAATACACAAGCAGAAATGTGCATTTTTCATGCTGGGTTCTTTGCCACGGTATCTAAAGTAATAAATGGAGATCAAAATGAAACCTGTGATTTCTTAACAGTTTATTACCTTGTATTACAGTACAGTTAGTGTTTCAAAAGATAATGATTTTATAATCGACCTCCAGAAAATGCCATTTCTGACTGGTAGTTTCCTGTCCTGATAAGACACTTTTAGACACTTTGTCGTGATTTTGGGCAATGTCGATCCTGATAGTTCAAACTCTAACTTACTGTCTCAAGCATAATTTTATATGATTTGAACAGGTTCAACAATGTTATATTAATTTTGTTTGAACTAACCAAAAGTTTACCATGTGTTAAGTTCAAAATGCACAGTTACATATTTTGTCAAGCATATAACAGTTAACTGAAATGAAGATACCATTCATCTCACTCATACTTAATAGCCTAATGCTTTCGGAAATATGCTGAAGTTCTAAAAACTATTGATATTTAGCCAGTGAGTTTTGGACAGGTACGGCTGAACCCCTCAATCAGCATGTGCCATCCATGTTCCTGATCTGTACCTGGTGTTTTTCTTGCAGGTACAACCGATCCAACTGTTTCAACTGCTTACATGAAAGTTACCTTAATGTTGACTTAGCACTGATCAGAGCAATTTTTTCTGCTAGTGACAAGTGAATTTCAATTTCGTGACAGAATTAACACTAATAAATCATAAATCAGTCCAAAACTGACCTTTCTACTTAAAAATCATTTCTTCCTATTTCAAGCTGGAAGTAGTGTGGTATTTCAATTGCTAATAGTTTAAACACGCATTTTGTTTCATGAACAGAAATTATTTGTCATAAAAGTAAACACAATCAATTTTTAAGCGTTGTACTACTATTCATTTTGAAAAAATCAGATATGAGCTATTGGAGAAAAATGTTTTATAAACTCTTGACCATAGCATTACAGAGATACAGGCAGTTTCTTGTTCCTCTGTAATATTTATCCTTGGATATGCTTGGACAGATGTTACCCAAGTTTGGTCTGAAACATTATGTGGAGAAGACAATCATAGTCTATGATACTGAAGGTATATTGACCTCTAGGAGGCAAGGAGTGAGAGCCCTTAAAGGAATTAGCCTTTATAACTCACCCTCTGTTATGTCTGGACATATAATTAAACCAAATTTGGCCTGAAACATCACTGAGGGAGGGGGGGATCATTTTGCTTGAAAACTCTGTAAATGGTAGTTTAAACATTAATTCCATATTTGGTATAATTTTGTTTCATTTAATTTCTTATTCCTTGTTTTTGTTATAATAATAAGACAAAGTTTTGAAAATTATAGATGCCTTTCAATGGTGTCAAAAGTAATGAATTGAATGATAGAGGACTATGTTAAAAAGATATTACATTTTCATTATCAACGAAAAATTCTATTATTTGCTTGGATATTATAAATAGATCTTTTGTGACAACTTGGATATTTTGTGAATTGTAGGAGATGATGGCACTGCTGGGTATATGTCAACAATTTGCTTCTTTGTCTGTAAGATGTCTTCCAAAAGTAACTCGACACTTGCAAGTGAAGACTGGAATAATGTCAGGTAAAATATTTCATTTTGGAATTGATCATTAATAGATTGAAGTAGGACAGTGATAACTATGGTCAGGTACAAGTAACACGATATCGTACACAGAAAAATCTTGGCAGTCAATCACCCATGCCCTTATATGATACTAGTTGATAAATCAGTATTATACACAAAGAAAGTGGACTGATATGATACTAGTATACAGCAATGTATTGTACACAGCTGAATCTTGGTGGTATGTGAATTGTTCTTGATAACCTCTTGGTAGTGTTCATCACCTGTTTCCAGATATTTGTACCTCATTTTGAATTGGGAGGGATTGGATCATTCGTTGTAAGGACCCATGTACATTTGACATATAGCATAAGCATACAGATAACTCTGATGATCACATGCATGACATGTTTAGCATTAGTAATATACAATTTGTGTGAATTGAATACCTATTAACTATAAACATTGTTTCTGTTAAAATATTTATATATTGGACATTTAGGTCTCTGCTGTATGTTAGTCCAAAGCAGCATACAGCTTCTAAAGATTTGGGTTATATCAAATGCAGCTAGTAAGTTCTGTGTATAAAAATAAGCCATGCATGACTCCAAATTTATTATTATATTATTACACAACCTAAATACAGATTTTATCCTGCATTTCTTAATAAATTTCTTTTTAATTCTAGGAATAAAGACCAATTTTGCAACTGGAAGTGTGAATTTGCGAAGCCTATCAACCCTACAAATTGGCAGCAATACAAGGACAGATGCTCATAGTCTATGTCAGAAATATCACTTTCCCCAAATCTCATTACAGCGTGATATGACATTAGGCCAATTGCATAGACGAGGAAAAGTCAAAAAGAAGAAGAAGAAGTATGGTATTCTTGGTGGAAATGCTTATAAAAGAGGTCTTGTATTAAAAGCCATTATAAAAAAGCCCAAAAAACCTAATTCTGCCTCCAGAAAATGTGTACGAGTAAAGCTTAGTAACGGAATTGAGACTACAGCATATGTCCCATATGAGGGACACAATCTACAGGAGCACTCTATGGTACTGCTCAAAGGAGGTAGACTTCAGGACGTCCCAGGAGTAAGACTGTGTTGTGTTCGTGGAAAATATGACTTGCCACATGTCATCAAAAAGAAAAAAGTATGAATGTATATCTGCAATTCTACTGGCTTGCTTCATGTCTTCAAAAATAAATTGATTTTGCATTTTTAGTCTTAAATGTGTTTATTATACCTCCTGCAATTACGTTGCAGACCAATCACACAGGACATAGGGTTAAGGAAAGTAATTTGACACAGTGAAAATCAACAGATTCATTTCTGTATCTTCTTGTGAATTTATGTAAAAGATCTGTCTCAAAATGTTCTAAAATATCCTAGTCATTTCATTGCTCTCAAAGACTTCATTGGTCAAATGAGGAAACATCACGAAAAACAAAAAACAAAACAAAACTAAATTGTTTCTATAAAGACCAATGCTTTCTATGTTATCCTGAAACCATCCAAGATAATTTCACATCTCTTACATATGTATCTATCGGAGATCTTGTAGTGCCTTTTAATGGTGAAATTTCTAGTTTCCATCGTTTTCCAGTAACCATACAAATAGCCATATAACTTGATCTTCAGTTTTGCTCAGGTATGAATTTCAATGAAGACTGCCTATAAAATTTCTAACAAATTGTTTAAAAAAAAGGGTGTTAACTCTTTCAAAAATATTTCATTTTTACACTGTCGTTTAAGAAAATTCGGTTTAATGTCATAGTTATAAAGCCTACCAAGTTTGAAAGAAATGAGTTGAAAACAAATTTCCTTTAGGACAAACTATGGATTAAGCTCATTTTACCAGTTCATTATGTTTATGCATTGGTACAAGTAGCAATACCATCCAGTAGAGTTGTTTCTGAAGCCAACATCACCAAGAGAGCAATTGGGCCTGTACCTTTCCCTGTCGTGCATCTTATTCAGGCTACATGCATACAGATCACAACTCTTGTCCTGTTATTCATAAGTCCTTCAAGGATTCCAATCTACTGAATCCCGCAGACCTTGAAAGTAGGTAAAGATTAACTTTAAAAACCAGGCCTAGCGGCCTTGACCTTCACCTGCGACAACTTTATCTTTGACTTTGTTTCAGATGACCTAAAATCTTGATATGCCTCTAGCCTTTATCTAGAGATCATTGAGAAATCAGATTTGACTCCATCAACCTTAGTGAGTCAAGGTCAATCAGTTTTACAACATGATAGCATATCATCCCAGCATGCTGCTAAACAAGTATCATGGTTGCAAGGTTCTGGTTATTTAGCCACACTTTATTTGAAGATACATATCTTATTACATTGGACAAGTGAGACCTTGAAAGTAGGTAATTAATTTGAACAAACTTGAAAGCCCTTCATCCATGCATCGTCCAAATATTCAGTCAAAACTGACACTGGTGATGGATGCAGCATCACAGTATAAGCTCACTTGCAATTCAGCCGATATTATAAAAGAAAACAGCCCCAACTTATCAACAACTCCCTTGACGTGGAGCCTGATTGTTTTTTATTGGTCTTTTCATGTCTTTATCTTCTTTATCATTACTATTTCTTGAGAAGGACTGAATTAATCGTTCTCAAGTTTCATATGATGTCAAAATTGACCTATTGGTCATTTTAGTTTTATAATCTGTTCCAAAATGTGTAATACATAACTACTAACTGGGGACCAAGGGAAACTACATATGAAATTTGAGAATGATTCATTAAGTGCTTCTGAAGAAATTTTGTTAAAAATCATAGCTTATGGACAACAGATGCACGGCAATTTGAATATCCCACTTTCAGATGAAAAGAACGGAAAAGATCCAACTGAAAAAGCATCAATGAAGATAAGATGGTGGGCAACAAGGCCGCTCTCGTATCCCTTGTTTTTGTGTTCCTTGTGGTTTGCATTCAAATTTGATTTACCCCTGATTAACCCTCAACAAATAACACAAAGCAATATTCAGAACAAGACCATTTATTTCCCTTCCAGGATAATTCCTCTGACAAACTACCAACTTACTCGTAAAAATCAATGTGTACAACTTCATCATTATAAACTCTGCACATGTAAAATACAACTGAAACCATAGAATTGGTTTCTCGTCAATGTGTGGGTACAGAGAAACAATATTTCTTTGTATGCTACTAGTCATGGATGGTTATCTGGCAGGTGATAAAATTTCAGTTCATGATGGTTTAAATATGAAAGCAGGGAAGATTACTTCACACACACCTCCAAAGTCATAGAGCCACATGTAAATATTAGTATCTATATTCAAAATTGAGCAAAGTTAATTTAAGTTCTAACTTTGATTTACACAGAATAAAGCACTTTTAAGTAGTATTGAGTACAAGATAAAAAAATTCTTCATTACCATACAATTATGTAAATAATATCAACAGGTTAAAAAGGTTGTTAAATTCTCAAGGTTATTTAGAAAACATGAACTTTTGCACGTGGGGGGTTAGTTACAATACCAGTTTTAATTATTCAATCACGGTTAATCAATCATTTCCAGACTGAAGATAAATGTTCACTTGGCAATGAACAAAATTCATTTTGCAATTGAAACAAATACCCTGTAGAACCTGTTACAAAATTGCATGTTCATCAAATTTTTTTTCCCATTCCAAACAATTTTTTTTCATTTCATAGTAACAAGAATAAAAATATCCCAAAACAATTCATTTTAACAAGTGCAGGTTAAAACGAAGAACTTGTTACAATAATCATAAATACCTTATCTGTGATCATATTTTGCTAACACTAGCTTTAAACCAATGGACATTGCTATGCAATTTACGTCTGAAAAATGGTATGACATCTAAGGAAACCTCTAAGGTCTGGAAGGTGGTACAACACTATAATACTGTAACAGGTACGTCATGCTATGGATATACATACGATATACACATGTGTAGCTAAGTTTTCAAGTGATGTTTGGACTACCAGGTCACAAGCCTGCTTAGGTCATGCTCTGAAAAGCAAAACTCTTTGTCATATCAGTGTATTATTTGTATTTTTATACAGACGGCATTGGCAATGCAGTGGTAATACTGGTATTGTAGTACATAAACAGGAATGGTGGAGGATTTTAATGTCACATGTTTGTAATATAGTTCAGTTACTGTTACGTCCAACAGTGTACAATGATGTCTTGAGAATTGTTCTTTTAAGATTCGTATGGATCCCTCCTTCACCATATAAATGCACTATCAAAGAGTGTTACACTGTGTCAAAGTTCTATTTCTGTAAGAGCAGGAATATTTCCTGAAACTAGGTTGGTACTTAAATCATCAAGGATGCCCCATATCTGTTTGATAGCAACTTATGAATTAATAGAATTTAAGCAAAGACTAAAGTTCAGTTTGTACCAAGCATACATCATATCCATGTTTTCCTGTATACACTACCACTGTGATACAACATTATCACAGTGTTATCCACACTTTTAACATACACATAAAGTAAAGCTAAAGAAATTTAAATTGGAATTTCATTCTTAAATTCTCTAAAATACATAACAATGTAACAAAATATTAACACTTTAGTTTTTGCCAGAACTTGGTTATAAACTTTAACTTCAACACAACAAGAAACAATTTGTACAAATTCTATTATATTACAGTCCAACTGCCAACAAGTTTTTCCATACATGAACTTGTGTAATGTATCTCTATACAGGTACACACTAAATGGGATTAAGTTAAAAAAAATGTCTTTGCCTTGATGTTGCTTTGTAACTTTCAATGTCAAAAAGAAAAGCTGTTATAAAAGCACAGGAAATTTCAGTAAAAGGAAACAATTTATAACATACTCCTGCTGACAAATATAAGATATATAAAATTCATACATCAAGGTTCTTCAATCACTGGTTAATCATGCTTTTTAGAGCTTTTCAAAAGGTTACTTGTATTACAAATAAGTTATAAATACAATACATTTAGAAATAAACCAAAGTTAAATACAAACATGTTGGGTCTGTAGTTGTAATTGAATTCATAAATATTCAACAATGACACTTATAAGCTTGGTTAAGCCTTCCGACCAAAGTCTACAAATGACTTCATATGACCAGGTTAACACAAGAACCCTTTGCTAGAGAATTTTTTGTCAGATATTAGTGTAAACTGATAGTAACAGTAAATAGCAGTAGTTTTGTTAACACCTACACAGTAATTTATAAAATATCAAAAAACACTAAAATTTATATTAAATAGAGCAAATACACCAATGATGTACATATCTTCAGTTTATCAAAATGGAAACGCTGCATTTCAATTTGTCATTATTATTTGTCACAATAGTAGAAAAAAAACTTTACATAAATGTTTATGTATTAACACATCAATGAACTGTAATTTATAGAAACCATGCACTATAAATTCATATATGATAAATATTTTGGGTGGTTTTTTTTTCAATCTTTATTCAAACTCAGAAGTGAAAACTTTTACTTTCTTAAAATGTGTCATTTCCATAACAGTTACCGGTAGGATTATTGAGGAAGAATGGAAATGTGAATGCACAACATAAAGTTATCTACAGTGTGAGGCAGTAAAAATATACAGAAGGCATACCTTCCATATCAAACACAAATGAAGTTCCTCAGCACTGCATCAATAATCAATGATCAGATTGTTTGAAATATTTATAGGAAACCAAACTAAAAATCAAAATTACCACAACAGCACTACACATCAAATAGACATGCCTAACCACTTCCATCCATAATAATCGGTCAAATTTAATCTACAGATTATAGCAGTATTGAAAAGTTAGACGGAATCAGCTTCAACATTAAAAACAGCAGTTGCTGAAGATTAAACTTTTTTTTTTTAATTAAAAGTACTTTAATATTACATTTTAGTAGAAAAATGTACAAAAACTTGCATCTTTTAAAAGAAGTGCAACTTGGGGGTAGATTTCTCTGCTATATTAAACACTGCATTGCTACAGATAGGAAAAAATTACAGGCACTGTATTACTACAGCAAGAAAAATACAAACTTAACATAAAATCATCATAACTCTGATGTATAATAGTTCCCACAACATTACCAATGGTGTTATAGAATATCTCTTAATGAAATGTACATCCTCTGTATTAACATACTCTCCTAAAATCTATATATATATGGGATATAATTACTCTGAGTGTGATAATTACAACCAAAGATAGCCATGTACTTCTATAAAATTGTGATAAATGTACATTTGGGCTACGGTTGTTTGATCTCTGTACCGGCAGAGATACCTAAACATGTGAGACACATTAACAAGAAAATGACGGCACTTTTTCTAGTAATGGCACAAGACAAATTAAAAGATGACCAAGGAATCACACATATGTTCCTTAATATAACGAACATCAAGTACTGCTTGTGCCAATGACTATTACACGAAAGATATCACACATTCAATACACGTCTCAAATACATAAAACGACAAAAACATAAAAAAAAAAAAGAAAAAAGGGATAAATCTTGCATTATTGTACATTCTCAACACACTTGGCACACACTTTTAACACACGCAACCACTTAAACCAACATGACACATTCAGATATGAAATTTTTGTACAATCCCATTGATTTTCCTTTTGAAGAACATGACGTCTCTTGTACAATGGATAATGACATCATTGTAAATGCAACAACACACCATCTTTTGTAAAACCAACGACACACCATCTTTTGTACAATATCTATATATGACATCATTTTTACAAACAACATCTTTTGACAAGACCTCCCTTGAACAAATGATGATATGGCATTCCTTGTACAAAAAATGACATGACATCAATTGTAAAAATGTGGGCACGACATCCCTTGTACAATCAACTGACATTATGCCTTGTTTATTACAATTTAAAAAAGATAAAAATTTTGAAAGGAAATACTGAACATCGAAAATATCAAATGCAGAGGATCAGCACAACATGCAGACCCTGCAATTAACCAGGATTATTCTCTGTAAACGGATACTAAAGGACTGAAGATGATAGTTGTTGGGTTAAGTCTTGGAAAAATGATAACATAACCAAACATCAGTATGCTTTTTGATATTGTTTGTCCATTTTGGTTCACTACACATAATAGACTTCAACATATGTCAAATCTTGAACTCTAAACTCTTTACACAGCATTTAAATAAATATCATTATATCTGTTACACATGTACATCAAATATCTACCAGTCTAATATAAGGTTTGATATTTTCTCAAACTGACACTTCATGGTTCTAACACTTTATATAGGAGGTACTACTAAATGATACAAAAATTACTGGCCATGGTAGATTCACCCCAGACAAAACTCATAAAATCACATTTTTCACTTGCTGTTATGCCAAACACATTCTGTAAAGGCATGGACATTCTTTCTCCTACTCAGACTTAATAAGAATGTATTTAGACAAATTCTTTATGCAAGAATCCTCACTCCCATCAAATAATAAAACAAGTGTCTTTGACACTGAAGTATAGGTCCATCAGTACAAAGACGCCAACTTTAACCCATGGAATACTGCACCGATTTGGTTGATTTGTGCATGCATAGATTTTGGCAGAACCTTTCAGTATACATTTATCTCTTATGACAAAAGGCACTCTGTGAATTTATGAATGATAAGTTATAAAGCGATGATCACAGGTAACTCATAATGTTAAATAATAGACATATACACAGTATGCGTACACATAAATCAAGATAGGTATCAGATCCGGCTGTAACCATACTTTTTTTATACATTCAACTAAAATCTAAAATTAAACAGCAAAACATTCTATGTCTTATAAAATTAAATAAACAATACACATCTGAGTTTGGAAGAATATGAAAAAGCTTGATATGAAAAAAGAAAGAAAGAAAAAAAAATTCAACAAATCAATAACAACGCAAAATATTGGTGAATATTGAACACGCCACAATCACAAGGTTATATGATCTATTTACATATACTGTCACTAGTATATGAATGGTAGCTAGGAAACATCTTGGTGTGGATTCATTCAAGTGTAAATTACAAGAAAAAAAAAAAAAAAAAATGTAAAGATGAAAACACAGGCAATTAAACAATGGTTGGTGAAATAGATACAAAGCTACAGAGAAGAAAAAAAAACATCCTCATACACACCACAGCAGACCAAGCAAATATTCATAACATTGATAATTCTGTCTTTAATGGGTTTGACCCTATAGCCTTGATTTTATTAAAACAAACTCTTAACATAAACTCATAAAAGTTAACTCATACAGAATTAAGTTATGTCTGTACACATTCCTGCTAGCTGCTTTTTCACTCTTTCTTTCTTCATTATTTTCAAAATCCTGAACCTTTATCTCCAGAATCTGAAAATTTGAAGTTGAATTTTCAATTAAGTGATCTATCAAGTTTGGACCAAACCTGATGTGAAATAATTTTGCAATGTAACATGAAATATCTGATGACAAATATACTGAGAGGATAAAGAAATGCAGGGTAATATTTATTCCGATATTTTGAAAACGCGTTCTCCAAATACAGTGAAACTTTGTGGATTGAGTAATTAGGTCATATTACACCTTGTCATGTATCGAAAATTTAGTCACGGTACAGTGCGCAGCTCTGGTAAATGGAGGAAGGAAAAAAGAAGAATCTCGTGCACCGTGTTGTTCTGGTCTCATGCAGCGTTGGTCAAGTCACTCTTCGTTAGTCTTTATACAAACCAACTGCTTCCCTAAAATTAATTGAGAATTTGATTCGTTTTAAGAATGGCACGACTCACAGAAGTTCAGAGGGGTCAGGCCATTCAGATGCTGATGCAAGGACAGCTGCAAAATCAGGTTGCTAGGCACTTTGGTGTTAATGTTTCCACCACAGAACGGCTTGAAAGACGTCTTCAGGAAATTGGGCGATTGGCCGATCGACCTAGGTCAGGACGTCCACGCGTAACGTCACGACGTCAGGATCGCTATATTGTCGTCTCTCATGTGTGTAATCGGCGCCTTACTGCCGTTGAGAGTGCATTTAATGTTCGTGGAAATCATGGGCGTCCTATAAGTTAAAAAACTGTAAGGAATCAATTACGAGAAGTTGGTGTAAGAGCACGTCGCCCCTACGTAGGTCCACACCTTACCCCTGCTCGACTTCAGCGTCGTATGGCCTGGGTCGCTACACATGCTCCACGATGGTTTCCACTGAGGCAGTGGAGACAAGTTTTCTTCATGAACGAGTCTCGATTCTGTCTTTATCAATCTGACAGCCGTCAATGTGTCTACCGACGTCGTGGCGAACGTTTTACGGACGCTTGCGTTGTAGAGAGGGATAGGTTTAGGGGCGGTTCAGTAATGGTGTGGGGAGGAATCTCACACGGGTTAAAATCACAATTGGTTGTTATTGATGGCAATTTAACAGCAGCTAAGTATAGAGATGAAATCCTCCTACCCCATGTTATCCCTTTTTACAGCAGCATAATCTAACTCTCCAGCAGGATAATGCTAGGCCCCACGTAGCAAGGACTTGCCAAGTCTTTCTGGCCAACAACAACATTCAACCACTAGATTGGCTGCCATATAGCCCTGATTTGTCCCCGATCGAGCATCTTTGGGACCAGTTGGATAGACAGGTTCGAAAGCACTAGCCACCCCCTGCTACTTGAGAGCAGTTGACCAGAGCTCTGATTGAAGAGTAGGACAACATCCCCATAAGACGGATTAACGCTCTCATGAACTCTATGACCAGAAGAATAATGGCCGTGACCACAGCAAATGGCGGACACACAAGATATTGATGACTCAGTTCAATTTCAATTTAAAAATCCTATGGGTCCATTAAATTTAATCGTTAGTACCTCTAAACCAATTGTCAGATGCAAAATACAGACTTTGGAAATTTTTAAGCTTTTATTTATCTGTAAGTATACAAAATTTCGTTTTAAATGAAGCCCGATATCATACTTAATTTCTGGTTTAAAGTTCACCCTGTGTTTCTTTATCCTTTTAGTATACATTATAGCACTTTGAAAAGAAATTTATCAGAAACCATATATATTAATTTATCCAATTTTTTTTATAAGTGGTTGGGTCTTTCTTACTATAATATACACAAAATGAAACAATTGCTTTCTTAGACCAAAACATGCCCTCAATTATCTCAGTGACAGGGCAAAGATCATTCTTTAAGTCTACCATCACTTATAGAATAGAAGATGTTTCAATACCTGGCCCTCCAAGGGCATGTTCTGTTACACTCATGCACAGAGAATCCAGCTGAGCATAGTTTTCTGCATTGTCTGCTGTAGATTCACAATCTGAAAAGTAACAAATGAAGGTCTAGCAATATTTTATCATACAATTTACCTGATCTAAATAACAGTTTACCATTCTAGCCTTGTAATAATTGTTTCTTTTAATTCCACAAGCACATAACTCCACTTTAAAACATATCACAACAAGTTATGGTAGATGTCAAGCAAATAGACTTGTGCACTATTTTGGTAATAGTGAAATATCACAACATATTTAACTTGATATTATCAATACTTTGAACTTTCATCAAGAAGACATTTTATTGGTTGTATATCTACGATATTATTTATCACTGGTGTTATCTTAATGTTTATACTGTTTGATAAATGTTCAATTTATTATAAACACACACATGAATGAATGTCTATAAGTACTTTAAGTACTGCTTTCATTTGGAAGCATTTTTTTTGTAGGAAATTGAAATTTTCTTGAATGATTAAGAAGAATTTAGTGGATAATATGCAACAAATTGTATCATTTTCTGTTAGCTCACTACTGCATAGCCAGATCTCCAATTTCCATGAAGGACATATTTCCCTTTGTTGTAAGCGATTACAAGTTCTATTTTAGAAATTGAGCTGTCAAATATGTAATCCTCAGTGAAGTAAATTAAATATTGCCAATTAAATAGTTCTGTATGTGAAACATATGATAAACCAGTTTTAAAGTACAATGTATTTGCACCCCTACTTCCTTTGCGTTTGATGTGTAAAGAAAATCGGGACTTTATGAGACTTGTTTTTTTAAATACTTTTTTATGACCTCCATATTTTTGCTGTACTCCTTGATCAATAGAAAACAATATGTATCATTAATAATATATGTATCATTAATTTAATTATTAAGTCATTGATATTTAACTTTACTAACTCTATCCATGGTCATGTTTTCTTTACTATTGTTAAATCCATAGATTTGGCATAGGCAAGTGTTCTATAATATGACTTGAAAGCAGTTACAACAGCTCCAATCACTACCTAATAATACAAGTTCAATCTGTGTGTCAGTCACAAAGCTGTGTGTACTAACTAACAAATATATCTGGAATTTCAAAGACATATTCCATAACATTTCTGTCAAAATTTCAAATTAGACAAATGGGGTCCAAATTATCCTGGGTCCACAGTTTTAATTCAAGTTAAATTCAAGTTCCACACAGACATCATTTAAGTTCCAATTATGTTTGCTGTTCTAGCCGTACCAATGGCTAGATTTAGACCAATTTCTAAGCATTCTATAGATAACACACCTGACACAGCCAGACCAAGATTTGGAGACCTCAGAGGAGCAGAATGGGTTCTTGTCACTGGCTGCTTGCCCTGAAATAATTAAAATATCTATTTTTTTATCAAAGTTAAATGTTTGATTCATCTTATGAAAATCAAAGTGTGGATTGAGTGGACAAAGACAAAAAAGGGTAAACAATATTCTGAAGGGCCTGAATAGTCACTTGAGTTCTATGAATGCTCTTGTTGTCCTTGTAATTCATAAAAATAATCTTGACAACAAAGTGAAATAACTAGTGTATACTGCACATAGCACTCATTAACTGCCTTCCCATGTTAAGGATTCTAACCATGCTTGAATCAAAGAAATCACACTCTTGTTATTTCCAAGACCGAAGATGTGTGATGTTATTGCTGTCTTTTCTGAATAGAATACATTATGATATTAATATGCTTTCTTTCGAATTCATTAGTGACTATAACGTTTATGTATCAGGCTTGGAACAATTTCTGTAACACTTGAAGACCACTTAAATCTGAGCATCGTTTCATTGTAATTGATCCGTAAAATACATATACTGTGTAACATGAAGGCATGAATGTAAACATCAGCATGCATTATCAATTTCTTGTTAATTTCTATTTTAAGTTATGCTGGTTTTTTTTTTTTTTAAAATGCATCTTTTCATTTAAATTTGATTTGGTATTTGTTGTGTTTGTTCCCGTAAAAATATTGTGTCATAAAATAGCCATGAACATGGAAACATCGATATAACCCACTATGAATGATTCAAGGTCTTGATATATCAAGGTTTTTTTTTAGTAGACCCTTGAACTTTGGAATATCTGTGAAACCTTTTGGTTTAAACCTCCTTGCGCATGCACATTGCGGGAAAGTTTAGAAATCATAACAAAGCAACGGATTGAGAGAAGGTTCTGAAAGGTCACCTGACAATAATGTAGACACAACCGCGAGTGTTGACTAGTGTCAGTTTGAAGCTGATAACCATTTTTTTCAAAAAGGTGTTATAATTTTGTGAATAGACTACTTGCTCGAAATCTAACCATTGAGTCCGTTTAAACTACAACCATTCATTTAATATCACTAAATTACCTCAACAAATCCTGGCCGAGAGAAGAGTGCTGGATTGAGAGAGGTGTTGCGTGTCAGAGGAAGGTGACCACTGGTAGTGCCTCCAACTATAGACCTTTTGGCACCAAAACTCCACTGTGTAGTTGTACGGGGCTGACGTTGGACCTTTTGGTTTAAACCTCCACGCAATGAGGCACCAAGAGGAAATGTATTACCCCATCTGGACAAATTAAGAATATGATGAAACATTTGGTTTTCATTCCAGTTATACTAATATATTTGTGCACCAAAGGCCATTCAAGATTGCTTTCATATCCTTTTTATATATTTAATATATAAAACTTATTGTTGAGCAAAAATTCATCTAGAAAACTCAAGAACCAATCAATACAAATATACAAAAACCTACCCTTGTTTCAGTTTCCTATCCATACTGTATTTGAGTGGTGGTTGATATATTCTCTGTGTTTCTTGCTTCCAGGTGGATAACAGTTTTTTTTGTCTATGTGTAAATGCCTACAAACAAAATCAACAATATTAAAATAACCTTACCTGACTATTGACATCAATTAAGACTTCCTGATTACCTATAATCCTGTTCTTGCTTCAGAACAATGCACGTTACTGATATCAACATATGATATAATAATTTTCGTCTTACTTTTGTGCTGTGACTTCTCAAAATTGTTTTTATGTTGTTTTTTCTGGTTAACGAACCACACTGGTTTATAAGCCACAGGGCCAATTTTTAGCATTTTTTTTTTCAATTTGATCTACATATAAGCTGCACCAGAATATAAACCACAACCTTTGTTACAACATGGTGATTACTATTGTTTTGTGGATATACTGATAACAGAAGGCAGTTCTTACCAAGTGGTACAGTTAAGTTGGCCAAAATACTTTGATATAACAGACAACGGAGGGCAATTTATCAAGATCGTCAGTGAAACATTCAATAAAATTTGAAAAAGTAACCTTTATTAAAGTTTTATAACGAATTATACACACATAATCCTTTCTTTTATTGATGCATTTACAAAAAAAAATAAAACAGCAAATATCAAACTTGTTTGGCTTAGGTGCTTTCACAGATTGTCTATGCACAGATATAGGGCCTGACATTATGTACATTTTACTTAACAATCTCCCCATCAGCATATTTACTGTTAACTATTAATGAAGGCCCTTGCATACTAATCAAAATCCCATATCATTTCTTCTTATACGCTACACAATGCCATTCATATTGTAAACAAGCATGGCTGATATTCTAGAATATGGCCTATAACACAATGACCTATCAATCCCAGGATGCAAAAGGCTATTGTAAACTTCAGCTACAACTTTGAAGTAACTGTGAACGTCCAGAAGATATTATTGCGATTCATATAAAAAAATAATTAATAAAATCCCTGAGAATGTTACTTTATTTCAATCTTCAAATCATCCTGTGCAAATGACGGCTCTAGATGATCTGTTTCAGTCACAAACATGTGAGGAGCAGGTACACCTTAAAAACTCAGTACTCTCTCGTACTAGTTCACTATTTTTTTTTTCTTTTCATCCACATATAATCACAAGGAAAAAAGGTGCGGTTTATAGTCCAGAAAATACAGTACTAATTTTCCAAAAGAACGTTGTGTGTTGTTGGACTTGCTACAGTACCAATCTGGAGCATTTTTTATTTAGTTTAACAGCTTGAAAATAATCACAAATGACCTACAGCATCTCAAAGATGTGAATCGAAAAAAGAAATATGATTTTATCAATCACATAATAACTTATAACAAGAATTATGTTTTGCCTGTCAGTTGTCAAGACTTGATCAAACAGACATTTTCAGAAGCTTGTAAAACATATTTCATGTATGTATTACAAATTTATAAACTTTTTTTCAACTAACAATACTTGATCATACTGAATAGATGAATCAAGTCTCAAACACAGAAAAACATGTACAAATTACCTCATGATTGATACACTTGTCAATGAGACTGAGGTAGAGATTAAAACATTCATCATCTGGACGGCTGGCCGTCAACAACTGTGTACAAACTGAAAACAAAATAATAAATCTACAATCACAAATCAACAGAATCTGCCACCAGTATAGAATGAGATTTTGTTGTAGAATGTCAGCCCTTGACTGATTAATCAATCTGGAATCATATGGGTAATGATTTCTTTTTTCTTATACATATTCCCACCCCCTCCAAAATTGCACAACACTTGACTGGTTTCCACTCTATAGTAATGATACCTTCCTTTTCTGAATGGCTAAACATCAGAAGGACTATTGAATACAATGATGCCATTGTAATTGTGGCATCACTCATCATGTAGAAGTATATAAAAAATCTCATGAGATACAAAATTCCCTATCTAATGTACTGTAAAATCATTTTTTGTGTAACGAATCTTGATCTTAAAAGTCAAAATGTTTGTTTTCAGCATTTAAGGCAAATCCTTCATCAGGTGCATATTCAGGAACGATAGAGACAAACACTAAAACCAGTATTAACTTTTTTGACAAAATCTGATCCCCATGATTTCATGAGAGAATTATTTTTAGTTTGTTTACTAAAGGACTGTGATCGGGTACTTTGCTAGATTTAGTCTTTGACAACGAAGTGCTGAAAGAATTTTCATTGATAGTCTTTATTTTTGCGTGATTTGTTTTGCGCGAGTCAAAGACTTGTATAGTGTTTTCTTTAACAGCTAAAAATTTTCTAGTGTCACGTTTTTTTTATATATCGATCTATTCATGGTAAACTTCTGTTAATATGACCTATAGCTTCATACATCGTTTAAAGTCGCTTATAAAAAGCAAATTTTAATTTATTTTATTGTCATTATGTAAAATATATAATGTATAAGTGCTTCACCAGTACAGGTAGTGTATGTGTACAGAATGACATGAGTGCAAATGTAGTTGATTGGTATTGTTTTATATGTATTCTGATTAATAAACAATAAAAAGGGAAAATAGAAATTTATTTCTTTCCTTTTCTTTACTGCTATTTCAAATAACAGATTAAATCATGCTTTTTGTATCAAGCTATCTGGCCTGTACTTCATTCAACAGTAATCAACGTCAGGAAACTGACATGTCAACCTTATTTGGACACTTTGTTTGAGTTGAAATACAGATAAGGAGAAATATTTTCCACATCTCTTGAATTTCAAGATGAGTTTCTTCCGTATTCCCAAATATGTCTGAAGAGGTAAATTTGTGAAATAAAGTAAGAAATCTAAGTGATTTACAGTATCATAGTCTTGCCAAGAACAATCTACACAGAAGCAAGAACAATGCTCTATTTCTTCCTATTAAAAGTCAGTTAAAGTCATTAAGTCAATCAGGCAATTAAAGTCAGATCACAAAAAAAATATTGATATTCTAAAAACAGCATTTTCTACTCTTCAGCTACCTAATATTCTTCAATTTAACACTGATCAGTAAAACATACATTTCTTCACTCAATGGTGCCATTACTCTACTCTTCATAATCATTCATTTTTCAAATTCTTTTCTTGCTAAAGTCTACCTTTGCCCATAACTCTGGTAAACTGTGCAACCAGGTCCCCTTCAACAATATAAGAGTATTCGCTTCCTTCTGAACCTGAAGGTACAGATGGGAGTCGGTCAGTGTCCTGGGAGAACGCCTTCATTGGGGTATTGATGATAACTTTCATCTCTGTGAGAGCAGCCTTTACAGATCCACCATCCATCATCTCCTACATCACAAAGACAATGACAGCAACAATAAATATGTCCCAGGTACTCAAAATTTTTAAAACCTAGCCCATATTTATGTACTTAACATATCATAATCAACCTGAAATGTACCTCTGTTGAGAAGTGGTTATAACCGAGGAGAAATAATAAAACCACCCTCTGTGAACATTCATTGACAGTATTGTTGTAATAATATCCTTACATCATTTGACAACTTTATAACTAGAACCATGAAATCAAGTAAGGGGGTGTTGAGTCAACACTGTCATGTCTTCAAGTGACCCCTCCTCTGGATACCCAAAGGTATGCAGGGTGATTGATGGAAATTTTACATCATGTTAGGACCTAAGTAAGCAGTGATGTTGAATCCATTAATCTTACAAGCACAAGCAAGTACATGTGTTCGAACTTGGTTACTTCTACAATCTGACCAGTGTCTTGACACTCAGATACATGATAATAATGTACTTTAAGTGTCCAAACAAACATAGTAAAATTAACTTATGCAATCAAATCAGTACAAACCTTTTCAAGTGAGCGAAGCAAGGACTGTCTTTCACGAAGCTTGTTCAGACTGAGCACAATTTTTGTTCTAGCACCTTTCGTTACATTCTATAAATGGATATAACAAAGTTATGTGTTTCTAAATTGTACAATCAATCATTCTAGAAATCAAGAAGATAATTTCAGGTGAAATACATCATTGAAAATCAAATATCATTACATCCAAGATAAAACGGGATACAGACAATAGATTCAATTATAATTAATCAATAGACAATCTTTTCCGATGATGTAGGAAAACTGTGACAATTTAAACTAAAAACAGGTAAAAATTGCAACCAATAAAAAAAGACGAACCCATTGTACCTGAGATTCCAACCACTCCTCTGTCAGGTTCATCATTTCTTCATAAGTTAATTGTTGGAAGATATAGGCATATTTGTGAAGGCGCAAAGTTTTTAACCATAAAGGTACATCTGTAAAATTCAGAACATTAAATATTCTTAACTCAAAGCCGTCAACACTATCTGTGCAATCAGTAAATCACAGTCATTGTCAATACATGTAATAGGGTTTATTTTATCCTGTAAACTCGGTGTTAAAGTATAAACGGTTACTTTAACAACAAAACATCCACATCAATTTAAGAAACTAAAACTTTTTTGACCATTATTAACTTTTCACATCAAACAGCTATAGGCATCATGAAGGATCTCAGATATAATATCTTGAGTGATATAAGCAGTGAAGCAGTTTTCAGTAAACTTAAATATCTGACCGAAACAATACAATAAAAGAGAGTATACATCCTAACTTCTTACCCCTCATTCCACTGCCTTCCTCCAGAAAGCTATTTTTGACTGGCTGTGGACCATCATCTTGATGGGTGTCGCCACTACTGCTACTAGAGGATGTGATACTGCTCTGTGGGGAAAGTGGAGCATGGTCTGATGAAGTCATGGAGTGTGAGCGCCCCCTATCAGATGAGGAATGTGAGGACTGATCCTCACTTGACTGTAGCCAGTCATTGATGTGGTTTGGCACTAGGATGGAGCTAGGAGGTACCACTGACACCGACGGGGTCCTCGCTAATGGCTGATGAACTCGTGAACCAGGGTTCACTAAAGAAAACACAAAGAATGCAAAATAAAAAAATAGATATATATATATAAACAAGTGTAGATTTATTCTGAAAAATAACTACTCAAATTACCTGTTCAATTACATTAACTGATAAATATAGAAAAGTTAACTGACAATGCAGTAGGAATTAGATACCTGAGGATGTCTAAATGACAAGGAAAATCAAATCTACAATAGTACCAATACGACAGAACAATGAGTTGACATCATATATTTGAAAGAACAAACTTACGTGAAGATTGTGAAGAAGGCACTGATATGAAGTTGGGTGGAGCTGATTTAGTTGGCTGGAGAGGTGGATGGTGTGACTTGCAGGCAGTGTGATTGTAGCTTATTTGACTACTGTTAGGTGGTGGAGGTGGGGGTACTTGATGTTGTCGCTGATTGATGAGATTTTGTTGAGTGATGAGGAGATCATTAGGCGGGACAGGCATTGGGTCCATCGTGTTGATGACAAGGGGATCTCCCGGTGGGTGTACAGGCCAGCCATTTGTTCTCCCACTCTCAACTGGTTTGTGTGTGGCATTGAAATTTAAGTTCAAGTTCCCTAGAGATTGACTAATACTTTCCTCATCTTTCACAGACTTCTTTTGTTGAGGATGAATACTATATGTGAACTGTTCTTCTAGCTTCCCAATCCATAAGGTAAATTCTGAACGTTCATCACTTGTAATTGCAGGATGCATCAATGAATATGAAATAATCTGCCGACTTTCTTCAATATGAGTACCATTTTGAATTGTGTAACCCAATATGGATGAGATCAAAGATAGATATTCAACCTTGGCCTGATTTTCTCCTGTTCGGAGCAGTGGAAGATGAGCTAGGAGCTGTCCAATAGTATACTCTTTGGAATCATTGTTGGCCAATTTGTGAATATATCCTGTAAAAGAAGGATGTTAAAAATTTCAACAAAAATATTGGAGATTGGGTATTCAAAGACAAGTTGTAAGAGAATGAGATTTTAATTATTTGGAAAAGCTAAGAACACTCAACAAATAGACATATGACACTGTATGATCTTATTCAGATATGATTATTTCACTTTTGCAGCTCTCTTCTACCTATCAATATATTTTCACATAAAAAATGGTTAAAGCAATACAAATACTAAAGTAATCCAAAAATATATTGATGGTGTTCTTCATGTTGGTCTCTTTATTGAAAAGCATACCTGGATCATTGGCCTCATTCTCCGTCTGGCTTATATCTGTACAGTCCGTCTGGTCCAACACTTGAGCCAGGAATCGGCATTGTGTAGGAGAAATCTGTTTAAACAGTGTACATAGAGCCACTGTCTGTTCACATTCACTCCATTTCTCAAACAAATTAGTCACCGAGTTCACCTGATCTCGAAACAAATTATTTGATTTCATATTTCCAAAGTTATGTTCTACGTTCACATCTTACAACAATAAAATGTTCTGTCACTTAAAAAACAACATTTTCAGGAACATCCTCAATGTACATCTGGCGTCTACAATAGAGTTCCTCAATCACCTAGTCCCACTCCATCAAAAAGGTACATCATCTCTATAATACTGGTACTTCTCATGCTGTCTGGGTACTCTGAACCCCAAATCAATCTAAAAACAAACAAACCTAGTGAAATTAGCTGAATTAAGTCAAGATAATGAGAATATATCCATACACATCATCATATATATTATACATCACAATGTTTGGTTTTAGTGTTTAGTCACAAATCAAATAAACACTGTCACCTCTGGTAACTGGTGATCATGCTTATTAAAGATGACAAACATCATGATGAATATCAAGTGAAGTAAAAATCTCTTGTTACTCGCTAAACTTATTATTATACATTAGACTGACAAATTAAATTGTATGACTCTTTTGCAACAACAAAATTTTGATGTTGGAAATTAATAAATTATAGATGACAGCTGTAATGCATTGCCAACGAGACACCGGACAGAAGTTTTCATAATTTCATAACATGACTCACTCAAACTTTATTTGATCTAGCTATATATAATTGATTTGATGAGTCTCATATATATTTTCAATTATAATCACTTTTTATATAAAAAAAAAAAAACTCAGCCAAAATTTGAAAATTTAAATCAAGCTTTCAATTACAGTTACTATTAATTATCATACATAGAAAATATCAAGAGTGTATGAGAACACAAAAAAATGACAATTAAATCAGACATACTTCACAAAAATATAAGATAGCTGACAAACACAAGTACTCTTGTCCACTAAGTGTTCATGCTGGAATTTTGCTAGATATCTATAACTTAAAAAAGTGAAGTAATGGCAGCAGTATACATTTACTCCCATCAACTAACTCAAATTGTATAAAATTAGTTGATTTCTTCACGGTGTAATTTCATTAATATTTTGAAATCAAATGTTATTGTGCTGTTAACTAGTGAACTATTACATGAAATAATCTACTAAAATGATTAAATCAATTTACTAAAACAATTTTTATACACACCCACGGACAAAACTGGCCTGTTGTGTTGATTATAATGTCCATAATATAAATTGTATGATTTACGTAATTAGCCAGAATGCATTAGAACATAAATTATGACGAAGTTACAAAAAAATAATCCAATTTAATGTAGAGTGTACATGTTGTTCTAACAATATTGTCGTTTCACACATTTGCATAAATGCTAGCTGTATGAATTAAATTTCAAATGAGAAGCCCACAAATACACTTACATTTCAAGCAACATTGACATGCATAATACAAGACCAATGCATCTAGCAATAATACTTTTACTTATTTTTCGTGTGACAACAACTAATTTAGGACTTTTAAATTGTTTGTTCTACTCGGCAAACTTGGTGAATTTTTGTGACTGATATCCTTGCCACATTAGTTTCTGAACCCTTAACAATCTTATCTTGGTAGCAATGTTACGTCGATTAGTTGCAACCAAACAAATACATAAATCTATTGAAATGTATTCATAATATAAACTTTATTCAATAAAGTGTTCAGTGAAACACCAGTATTTTTCTGGAAGATATCCACAAATACAACCTCAAATTTGCTTACCTGAAGTGACAGACATCATCATGTGTATCATTAGCATGTCTACGCTTCAATTACTTGTGATATCACAGAGACAATTGAATTAGCTATATATATATAGCCCAAGAATGGCACAGAAGAACGCTATTATACATAAACAAATCACTAAACAGAACAGGAATGACAGTAAGATGTAAGAAAAAAAAAATCAAATCTTGTCAAGAGAAAATGGTAGATGTCTGTGTTTATATGCACCTTTATCTAAAGGGTAAGATTGAAGATTTTATTATTTCTTCTTTTTTTCTGAAATGGGCCAAATTTCTTAACTTTTCATACCACAATCTTTTCAAATCAGGTTATTTTCTCATGAGCTCGTCTACACCTCACTTGTTTATTCAAATCAGAAAGCAGGTTATTGAAAATGATAATCTAAAAATAAAGTCACATTATACAGTTAAAAAAAGTTAGCCATACCAAAACATATTGCCAACCGAAACCAATGATGAGAAGATACTTGCATTAAAGTTTGGAGGAACCATCTCTACTAAAACAAAGGGACCTCCTTTTCTTTGCTCTTATAATTATACTCAATAACTTTGTTGCATTAAGTTACTAACAAGCAAAAAGGGAAAATAGAGAAACTTTGGTGTTTGATATCTATGAAATTTGAGATTAATCTCTTGAGTGCTATCATATGTCAAAACCTAAAATGGCAATCTGTCTGCCATTTTTTTCCTAATGTATCTCAGACACAGCAGGAGACCATGGGACACCCTCATTTAAATACAAATTACCGTAAAAACCCACGTAATGTCCGCATCTGTGTAATGTCCGCACCCCTTTTTTGACACAAAAATCTGGGGAAAAAACCCACCTTCCATGTAATGTCCGCGGGTAAAAAATGCAAATTGAAGCTGCCGATTTCATTTCACGTACGCTAATGTCGTAATGGCCGAGAGCATGTCGCATTGTGTATAACTTACAGGTACCATTCAAGAATTCACTTAATTGTTTCTAACAACAGTTATTCTCCATAATGGTACAGTAAGCTTACCAGTATGACAAGTCCTCATTTCGATAATTGGTGTTTTGATAAGGGTTAGCCCAGCAGTGTTATAAACAGCTTGGGTCGTCTCCTCACCTCGAGTGTGAGTGAGTGACAGCGTGTGATTAGCCAATTAACGATAACTATACAGTAACATGACCCGCCCATGACCCACGGCGCCACTGACCCTACTGACACACCATCAGACGACGAGAACGCCATTTATTACAACGACCAGACAGAGGAAGACAACTTCAACGCCGAGGAGTTCTTCCACAGTGACGACGACGACTTCTGGGGTTTCGAGAAACGCTATTAAACCGGCCTGCTATGTATTAAGACTTTCTGATAAACGATCCATAATCAAAAAAACTTCTGATTATTTATTTTATGTAATATTCTTGTACATGTTATTTATTGTTATTTTGTAAATAAAATGTAGAATGAAAATGTTGTGTTATTTTGTATATGCTCATGGGTATGCTTTTTTCAATGGGGAAAGGGGAATAACTCTAACTTTATTCATGTGACAAAGTCAAACAAAATGGCTTCCTATTACGAAGGACGACACAATACGAACCTGTAACGAGAAATTGGAAGGAATTAACCATGGAAACTATAATAAATAATCATAAATAATCATGTTTGGTTGAGGAAACATAGAAAAAACCATAGAACGATAATATCAGGTATGCTTGGCTTTTAAGAACACAATTCAAGGAGATATG